ACCACCCTCCGGGCCCTCCCGGGCCAGACTGCAGAGGGGATAACAACCTATTAGCGCTGCCCGAGCCAGACTGCAGAGGGGATAACAACCTATTAGCGCTGCCCGAGCCAGACTGCAGAGGGGATAACAACCTACTAGCGCTGTCCGAGCCAGACCGCAGAGGGGATAACAACCTACTAGCGCTGTCCGAGCCAGACTGCAGAGGGGATAACAACCTACTAGCGCTGCCTGAGCCAGACCGCAGAGGGGATAATAACCTACCAGTGCTGTCCGAGCCAGATTGCAGAGGGGATAACAACCTACCAGTGCTGACCACTTGCAGCATTGCTCCCTCAGCTGTATCACTAGAGGGCTCAGCTCAGCTCTGCTCTGGTACCAAAGGTTGTGGGATCAATGTGGGGGGGGGCTGTAACTTTTTCAGGCACTTTGGGGCCACGTTTAAAGTTCTGCCCCCGTTTCTCTCCCCTCCAGGATCACAGAGCTCTGCTCCCAGCGATCACCTGACCCCCAGCTGTGCCTCTTCCCCACCACCCCCGACGTGCTCATCCCCTCCCGCTCCGTCACCAGCGAGGTCTGACGGAGGCACTGCCCCCTGGGGAGGGGAGGCGGGAGGCTGCCCCCCCACACCCAGGACACCCCTCTGCCTATTGCCCCCCCCCCCAACCAGCACCATCCCTTTAACCAATTCCTCCCTGGTTTGTGTGGGGTTCGTAATGACACACTCGGAAGTGTGGCACCGGGTGGGGGGGCTAAAACCTCACCCTCCTTTTCTATAGGGTCCAGCTTTCTCCCTCCCCCTCTGGCCCCGGATGGCCCCCATCCTGCTGCCAGGGCAATGAGTGGGAGGTTCAGTCCCTGCCCATCCTGCAGCCGCTGAAGTTGGGGTGATGGGAACAGAATTAGGGGCCCCCACTGAGAGCCCCAAAGGGCCCCCCAGCTGAGGGCTGCCTCCCCTCTATTGAGGCTGGGCAGGTGGGAGACGGGATGGGGGCGTGGGGGTTGTATGTCAGTCTGATTGGGGGTGGGGTGGGGGCGGGAGCTGAACCGTCCCCTTGAACGAGAGACCCAGCTGGCAAAGGGCGGGGGAGGGGGGGCTGGGGATAGAAACTGACACGGGGGCAGTGCTGGGTGGGGGGCTGGGGGAGCACTGGGGGCCATGGGGGGGATGAAGGTCAGAGGGGGGATGAGGGCTGGTTTCAAAGGCCTTGACGGAGCTAAAGCCAAGGCAGAAACCAGCAAAAGGGGAGCAAAAGTGGCGGGGGGGGGGGGGGGCACTGCTGAGCCTGGATTGAGCAGAAGATCGGGGGAAGGGTATGAGGGGGCGGGGCTGGCTGGGGTGGGGGTGGGCAAGGGCAGGGGGAGGCAGGCGTGGTGGGGCTGCTTCTGTCTCTAGAGCCCATTCATCCTGGCAGCCCGGGGCCTGGCCCCTCCCTACAGCCAGGCCCCTTCTCCTTGGGGGTCCCAGGGCGCCCCCCCAAAGCTGTCAGGGCCCAGAGAAGTGGGGGAGGGGCACCCTGAGCCCTTGGAGGGCTGCTCAGCCCCACCCATCAATCACAGATTATCGCTGTCCAACCATAGGGCTCAGATGGGGGAAAGGGAGGGGCTCATCCAAGCTCCACCCACAAAATAAGCCCCACCCACAAGCCCCACCCACAGGAGTTGCCCAGTGTCCCCCCCACTTGTGGCACCAACCGAGCCATGGCTGATCCATGCCCCCCGGCCCCGGGCTGGACTCGTTAACTATGTGGGTGTTTGGGCCGTTCACACGCCTGCGAGCGGCTGGGCCGGACTCGCCACTGTCACACCTAGAGCCGGACTCGTTCCCATCGCCACAAGCCAGGAGCGCGGGGGGAGCCCCGGAGCGGGGAGGTGCGGAGCCGCTGCAGCGACACCCCGACCGCCAGCGGGGATCAAACACACCCCACACCCGTTTCTTCCCCATTGGGTCGTCCGGCCAGGGCTGGGGAGAACCGCCCTGCTGGGATCTGGGGGGCAGGTGCCGGGGGGGGGGGGGGTGTCAGGCCAAATCCGACATGTTTCCGTGAGGATTTAATAAAAATCACGTTTGTACCAGACATTGGGGGCCTGGAGAGTGGTCAGTCTGCAGCCCCCCGAGTCGCAGCCCCCCAGAGTGAGTGTGTGCGACTGTGAGTGGGGAGGGGGGCAGAGCAAATAGCGCAACTGATGGCCCTCAATCTGGACCCGTAGCCCCTGCTAGCCCAGCCCTGGGATTTTCCCCCCCAGCTCTGCCGGTGCCCCTCACTCCCGACCTGCAGCCCCCTGCTAGCCCAGCCCTGGGCTCCCCCATGACCCTCCTTCCCCAGCTGCCTGGCCAAACTCCCCCCATCAGCCGCATGAAACAGGGCGTGTTGCTCACAGGGGGGAGCTCATCGCATCCCCCTCCCCCTGCGCCCCCAGGGTGGGACACTCTCCCCCAGTGACTGTCTCAGGCCCAGTTCATTGTCAGGGTGAACCCCCACCCCCCATACCCTAGAATGTAAAGACCCCATGTCCCATTCCCCACCCCCGAGCCAGCCAGCCCCCTGCCTGGGGGCAGGATTGGAGCCAGCGCCCCCTAGAGGGGAAAGGCCCCGCGGCCTGGAATTCCCTGTGGCCAGGGCAGTCCCTGCCCCCACCCCGATGTCCTGGGGGCAAATCTCTCTTCTTCTGCTGCGGTGGTTTATTCTCCATTGCCATGGAAACACAATCACGGGGGGGGGGCACATCCCAGGAGTATCTGGAGGCTTCACAGTAGCAAGAGAACAGCCCCCACCAACCCTCGGGGGGTGGGGGGGATGCCGGGAGCTGGGGTGTGCAGCAGGGGATGCAGGGGTAGGTGGGCGGCTCCCCTGGGAGCCACTTGGGGGGCAGGGTCCTCATAGCTACCTTTGAAGGGTCCAGCTGGAGGCCGGGATAGATGGGCCTGCAGAAGGGGCACCAGCACCTCCTTGTGGCTGAGCACGGCCTGCCTCAGTTTCCCTTCCGTAACGAGGGCCCAGCGGAGACAAAGCCAAGCCCTCCCGTGGCCAGGCCTGACCCATCCTAACGTTGCTAGGTGCCAGCGGCTACCCCATTTGCCCAGCTCAGCCCCCCGCAACAGAGCTTGTGGTCGGCCCAGGGTCTCCTCCCTTAATTAACGGCCTTCCAGCTAACGAGGCCAGGTGAGGCTGCGCTCCTGCCCTTCCACGGAGTTGGGCACTGGTGGGCTGGGCAGCCGCCCCCAGGAAGGCAAAGCATGTGCATGGAGCTGCATGGCCTAGTGGAGGAGACGGGAGGAGACATGAGCTGCAGTGGGGATGGGGGGGTACGGCTGAGTGTGGGGGTGGGTGCACAGGGGCTATGGGGGGGATGCAGAGGCCTTAGCTATTCACTAAATGCACTGCCCAGGCCCATGGGGCCTAGATCCAGCCCTGGGAGGGGGCCCCTGCTGCGCACCCCCCTCACCCCACATCCCAGACGGGGACAAACCTCGGAGCCGTTTTCAACTCTCCCTCCAGCTCACCGGCCTGTGGGGCTCATGTGACGGTTCCGGTGGAAAAATCTCACGCCTGGCAGCAAACCGCTCGGGGTTGGTTTGCGTTTGCCCTGCGAAGGGGCCCCTTGGCCGGGGGCTGGGGCAACATGGAGACACCTCCTTACTCCAAAGTGGGGGCTTGTCACGGACTCACAAGTCGTGCCCACTCGTGGCCCTGTGCGGTCCATGGGGGGTGCCCCTTTCAGTGAGACAGCCCTTCTTGGGGGTCTTCTCTCTCCCGGGGTCAGGCCCCTCCACCTCCTGGAGCCGCACCTCTCTGAGCCTTAGCACGTCTGTCTCTGCCGTGGGTCCCCCCCAGGGGGTGCCCTCGCTCTGGACCCCCAGGCCTCCACCCCCTGAAGGGGACGATGCAGCCCTGTTCTCTAAACCGGAGTGACTCTCAGCCAGCGTAAAACAGGAGGGTTATTGAGAGTTGAACACAGCACAGGAAACTCTCAGGGCCTCAGGCCTGGCCTCCCTCAACACAGCACATCCCAGTCTCCCTGCATCCAGGTGGGCTCTGCCTGCTCCCCCTCTCCAGCCCCGAGCCCCCCTGCTTCCTAGCTGGGCATCTGAGATCACTGCCCCAAGCCCGGCCTCTGTCCATTGTCTTCGATCCAGTGAAACAGGGTCACCTGGGCCTCCTCTCCCCTCTTCTGTCCTCCGGCCCCTCTGGCTGGAACCGGCTGGTTAGGTCACGGGGTCCTCTCTTCACAGCCCATTGTCCTCCCACTGGCCAGAATCGGCTGGGCCTCCAGGTCACCAGTCGCTGGGGCGTCCATCCTCCAGGCCATTGGCTGGGGTCCCAAGTTCCCTTTCCGGTCCTTTGTACCAACAAACGCCCTCTCCCCTCACCTCGTCAAACCAGTAACACCGAGTCCCACTCTCTCGGCATGCAAACCATTGGAAAACCAAGGAAAAAACAAGAAAATCCCCCACTTTGTCACAGGGCTGGTCTCACAGAGAATGGAAACCGGGGGCCAGGTACCCCTGCCAGCCGGAGAGGGCCCCCGAACAGCGGCACTGAGTGACTGCAATTGCACCTAGCGTAAAACCGGTTGTAACTGGGGTTAGGGGATTATGGGCTAGTGGTTAGAGCTGGGAGGGGCTGGGAGCCAGGACACGGTGGTTCTATTCCCAGCTCTGGGAGGGGAGTGGGGTCTAGTGGTTAGAGTGGGGAGGGGGCTGGTGTGACAAAGTGGGAATTGTTCTTAATATTTTCTATGAATACGGTGTCTGCCTCAGTTTCCCCTTTTGCGCTGCCTGGTTAACTAGGTGGTGGACCAAGGGAGGTTATTCTTTGTAGCGATCCAGGTGTGATCGATGCCTGGCTGCCAGGGGCCCCATGCCCGTGACGAACCCAGAAGACAATGGACCGGACATTTGGTGCCTCACATCTAACGCCCTGGGCCGGCCGCCCCCGCTCTGCGGGAAGCCAGCGGGAGAACAAAGCGCTAAGGCAGGTGACCAGGTGACCTGGTTTGCCGGGGAATGAGAACAAATTTGCTGTAACTTTTCTGGTCTCTAGGCTACCCCAGCACCTGCTGTGCCGGTTCCAGACTCCAATAAACCCTCCTATTTATACCGCCGGCTGGGAGTCACTCCAGTCTCAGGAAGTTGGGGGGCATGGCTCCCTTTGGGGGTGAAAACGTCCCCTGGGTCCAACCCAGGTGGGGAGCTCACGGCTTGACCCAGGGGTGCTGAGGGCACCACGATTCGGTCCCAGGAAGTGGGGCAGCTGAGGCCCTTAGCCCAGCGAGACCATGTGACCTTAAGGGGGCTACATTCGAAAGGGGTCTGCTCAGGACCTGTTCCAGAGCCGTGTGGGTGGGAGCACCAGGCCTGGGGCTCCATGACAGCCGGAAGTCAGGATTTCCAGCTCTCAGGGGAGAGTGGGGTCTAGTGGTTAGAGCAGGGGGCTCTGGGAGCCAGAACTCCTGGGTTCTATCATCAGCTCTGCCACTGACTGTCTGTGTGATCACTGGCACGTCACCCCAGTCTAGGATGGGCATTATTGCATCCTGATAAATGCTTGGGGCAGGCGTGACGGACGGGTGAGGGCAGTTCCCTTCCTGGTACTTCATTGCTGTACTGTTCAGCCCACTCGTCCCCTGCCTGCCCCGCTGCCCCACTCCTGGTTCTCCCAGCTTCTTGGATCCAGAATGGGAGAGCTGGGGCTGGGGCGCTGGGCCCCAAATCTCACTGTAATCCAGGATGCCCTTGGGGGATCCCAGCCCTGATGCTAAGGGCCCCGATCCAGTTCCCAGGGGTGCCAATGGCCTGGGATCAGGTGCCCAGGGCCAGGTGCACCCGGACATGGTCACCACTGTGGGCAATAGCAGGCAAGACCCTCACCTCCCAGGCAGCATGGGAGCCCCTGACCTGGGCGTGCTGGCCGAGAGATGGGTGGCAGCAGGGACACACACACACCCCGGTATGCGTCTCAGCAGCTGGGGCGTCTCAGCCCCCTGTGCCCTCCCCTCCTACCTGACACAGAGCAGAGGGGAGTTAACACCTCATTGGGAAGCATCCAGGCAGCTCCTCCCGCTGGGAGCGACAGACTCAGGCTCTCGGCAGACTCAGGCAAAGTCACTGTGTTGGTTACACCCAGGCAGCTCCCCATCCCCATCGACGGGCTGCGGACTCCATTATCGGACAGCCCACCTGGGAACGCCTTTGTTACTATAGAAACGTCACTCTTTGCTCTACCTGTCCGTCAGCGTGCGGTTTGTCCATCTGGGTTTAGCATCAACTGGTGCCTTGGGCTTCATCTGAATGGCACAGAACAGCCGAAAGGGGCCACGTACCTGTTTAGCTGGGCGCTGCTATGGGGAGGTGCCCGGTGGGTTATTTTTCACTACTCACTTTTAGGTAAATTTTGGTAGAGCTGAGCTCAGGGCCCCAGTTGTGCTGGGCGCTGGCCAGACCCTGACCAGAATCAAGGCACCCATCATGTCAGGCGCTGCGCAGACCCCCAGCAAGAGACAGTCCTAAGAGGTCATAGTCTGTATGGCCAAAGGGTGAGAGGGGAAACTGAGGCAGAGAGTGGGACACCCAGCAGGCCAGCGATGGAGCCAGGAATAGCACCCAGCTCACCTGAATCCCAGGCTTGTGCTTTTCCCACGAGGAAACGCCCCATCCCCCCATCTCCTGCATTGCCCCTTTCAGTGCTACACCAGAGCCTTGAAGCCGCCAGCATCAGGCGCGATGGACCCTTGACTCTGTAGCTGCCGCACACAATGAGGCCTGGTGCTGAGGGCCGGGAGTCCTGGGCTCTGTCATCCTGGCCCTGACCCTCACTACAGCCACACTCCCTCCCCCATGCCTCAGTTTACCTTCCTGCAGGGATCCAGGAAAGGTATCTGGGGCATGGCTTAATGACTATTCATGAGGTGCTCTGAGCTTATTGGGCAGAAGGCACAGAGGCGGGGCATGGCGTTGCACTGGCTGGGTGTATTTATGCCAAGCTCGTCCCTGGGGCGGGGGGTCTGAGCCCCTGAGACAGAACCAGTGGGGCCCAGCTCTGCCCCCATGGCAGATCACAGCTCTGGCTGGAAACAAGAGAGATGCTTCCCGCCCTCAGGGCTGGGTGTGACGGACACAGCAATGCTGCCTGAGTCTGCAGAGAGCCTGAGCCCCTCGCTGTAAGAGGGGGCGTTTCTCCCTCCCATCAGCTATGTCCCCCATTAGCTGGGGTTGGTGGCTGGGGCAGGCCAGGATCCAATCCCACCGTTAGTGGGGGGGGCTCTCCCGATGAGACTGGCACCCGTGTTTCATGTTGGGGAGCTGGGGGAGGCTGAAGGGGTCAGTGAAGTGGGGGGAGCAGTGGGATGAGGGGCCTGGTGGGGCCCAGGGTGAAGCCTACAAGAAGAGCAGGGATCGGGGCTGCAAGGGAGCGCGCGCGTGTGTGTGTGTGTGTGTGAGAGAGAGAGAGAGAGAGAGAGAGAGAGAGAGAGAGAGAGAGCCTGTCAGTCATTCTCTGCCTTTCAGCTGTCCCCCGCACCCCCCCAGTCCCAGGTCTGGAGGTGTGGGGGGAGGGGCTTTGAGTGATGGGGGTGGCAGGGCAGGGCTGGCAGCTGAGTGATCTCAGCTCCCTGGAGGGCTCAGGGGGCTCTGAGAAATTTGCCCCAGACCCTGACCCCGGGGCACTGAGACAGGCCGCCTCAGGGAGGGAGGCACTGAAGCTGTCAGACCCCGACAGGGTGCATGGGCTGTCTTGCTCTCAGCTGGGCCTTGTGCCATGGGGGGGAACTGAGCCAGCGCCAGGCACCAGGGTCCTGCCACGAGGGGACTGAAGCAGCCCTGGGCACCAAGGCTATGTGGCGAGGGGAGGGACTGAGTCGGCACTGGGCAAAGGGCTGGGGGGGCGAGACTGAGCCAGTGCCAGGCACCAGGGCCATGTGGGGGCGGGGCTGAGCCAGTGGTGGGCACAGGGCTGTGGGGGAGCCAGTGGGGGGCACAAGGCTGTGGGGGGGCAGTGGTGGGCACCAGGGCTGTGGGGGGGAGCCAGTGGTGGGCACAGTGCTGGTGGGGCAGTGGTGGGCACAGAGCTGGGGGGGCAGTGGGGGCAGAAGGCTGGGGGGGGGCTGGGAGGCAC